TTTTTTTTTGATCGATATCTCCATTTAGCTCCTTTCAAAATCATTTAATGACGGTAAAATAGAACATTAGTTACAAGTTACAAAAGTACTTCATAGGAGTTGAAGCGTTCTCCTAGATATTTATAGAATTTCTGATGTTTTTGGGTGCAAGACTTATACATTAACTAATAGAAGTCCCATATAAAGTGCACCATAAGTTCCGCTCCAACTTTTTCCAGTAATCGACAAATTCCTTCATTTCTAATGATTCATTCTGAACCAAGCTTTTTATCTAACGGTACGAAATACCAAACCTTTTGTTCGAAAAAATTGACGAAAGTTGTGAAAGAAAAAACCCCAAAGCGTAGCTCTCTTATTTCTGATTTTCTATGCTAAGGTGACCATTAAACTTGTATTTGTCAGATATTTTGTGACTCTTCGTAGTCAAAGAATTTGCGCTTTTCGAAAGTTTGACCTTATCGCTTACATTACCTTTAACCTTACCTTATTTTTTGCGATACATACAAAAAAGGCTAATATGTAGATAAATCGAAATGTTTTATATTTCAAAAGAAATGGTACCCTACCTACCTATAGGTCTATATTTTATATGATTTCTCACTGATGAAAGTAAGAGGAAACGCTTGAAAAACTGAAGGGTTCCTAATGTTATGAAATTTTTGGTTCTCTTCTAATTGCGAATGGAATAAATATGTGCGCAAAAAGTTCCAGGAAAAATGAGAATCTGCTTCTTCATCTGGAAATAACCCAATATTTCCGAACTTATCAGTGGAAAATCAGGCTAGACTGATCACAACATTTCTATTCAACACACTTTACGATTATTTCCAGATATGGACAAGAGAACAAAAATCTAGTCTGTGAGGAGAGAAAAAAACGAAAGTAGAAGACTTTGATGATTTTTTGTTGGTAAGTAACAGCGATACCAGCAATCAACATAAATTTTAAAACTACTCCATCTCGAAACTCTAAAATGAGATATTTCAAGTAAATTCTGATAGCTACCCTCACTAAAAAAATAACAAAAGCCTCTCAAAGCTCTGTAATAGGAATGTGGAATGCTCAGATGCCAGCTTCCACCCACCCCACCCTTCCGGCCATACGTTTGCTTATAACTCAAATGTCTAAAGCTGTTATAAAGATTTGGATTTTGAAATAGATGTTTATTAAAAACAGTACAAATTGTTATTAGACAAACGGTCATTCAACACAATGAAATTATGGCGATATCATGAAGCTGACTGGAATGAAAGAATGAAAGAAACCGATGCGATGTGGCACAGAAAAACGACTAGACACGTGCGCCTGCAAGTGATCAAAAATGAACGGATGTGTGTGTTTAAACGAGCCACAGGCGAGAAAGAAAACATTGCACATGAGCACTAAAGCACAGTATTTGAAAGCTTACGAGAGTATTAAAAATTCGAGCTATAAGTTCTCTTCTCCCTCTAATCGCATTAGTTCGTCGTAATACTGATCGACATCCTGCCACTGTGGAGGTGTGTTAGGGTCGATATCGAAAGTATTACATTGAAATTCTTCGAAATGTCCAGCCATGGGCACCGCTGAAATAGTAAAAGCATAAAAAAATTGAGAATCCAAAAATCCGATGAGTTTAGGGTAGAATAACTGAAGATGGGAGAAATTTATGACAAGATCATATACGCAAGATAGTAGCACTTCAAAAACTGCGTTATGATGATAAATACTTTGATGATTGGAACTAATTAGGTTGTATCGAAAGTCTCGCATCAGTATTTTCGAATTAACACACAGTTTGTTTGGCTGGAGATATAATGGAAAAGTGAACTCTGCTTTCGTTCTGTCTGATGCAAGATTAATTATTAACACGTTCAGGGCAAGGCCGATTTTTCGATCAATGCCGTTTCGGACCAGAGCCTTTTTCGCTCTGCCAAACTTACGACCCACCGATGGATCATATTGTCCGAAATGGTAGTACACGTACGACCCACCGCTGAGTCGTATTTTCGTGAATGTGTTAAAGAATTGCGGCAATATGAGGCGCAGAGAAAACGATGAGATCACACGGTTATTTATATTTTATTTTTATTTTTTATCTTTGCGAGTTTCCTAAAATGCTAAAATTTTAAAAATTACTTGCATTTTGCTCTAAGGGTCCTAATCTATCCATAACTCTTTAACAAAACTCATGGTATTCGACTTCTACTCAATTCTTCAGTTATAATAAAATTCCTAACTGCATAGTAATTTGAGACATTCGAAAAAGCGTAGAATAATAACAAAACGTCTTTCAAAACATAGTTTTTTTTCTTCATAATTCTACCTACAAGAAATATGTATAGCCTACTTAACAAACTATAGAAACGGATCCTCATCGTCAATAGACAAAACCAAACTTACCATCCATTCCATCAAGATCGTAATGGCCCATGTCACTATGCCAGCTGTAGTCACTTTGTAATCCTTCATCGGAAGACAATCCAACATCCGTATAAGAAGACTCGGAGCGATCCATCTGTACAGACGAACCCGAAGACGAATTTCCCTCATCTATAACATCCAAAATTTCCTTCAAAAATTCTCCAGCCATATACTCACAATTTGTGAGCACTTGATCGTCAAAAACCGCCTCGCTATCGTCAAGGAGGGAGATATCTGAAAAACAAATTGTTAAAAATAAAGTCATAGGCCCAAATGAGTAAAAGATGCACGAACCATGAGGAGCTATAGCTCTTCGTTGACTTCTTAATGAATCCATATAGTGGAGCACGGCCGTATTAACACGAGATGTTGATTTACACATGTTTTCTTCTGCTTCAACCTTGGCTTTGGTTTTCTTACCCGAGACGTGCGAACTAAATATGAGCACTAATCCTCTCTAGCTCTTTACTTGATCAAGGTAAGATTCTTACCTAGCATCATTGAGAGACCAATACGATCCTTTTCCTTTTTCTCCACTTTTCCTCGGCACTTTTTTGAATAGCTGATTGCATGATAAGTTATGTCGTATTGAGTTCTGAAACAAGCAAATTCATTTTGCTGCAGAAAAATTAGTT